TGTCTGTCTGTCTGTTTCTCTCTCTCTCTCTCTCTCTCTCTCTCTCTCTCACACACACACACACACACACACACACACACTTGTTATAGTAAAAGACACATTGCCAAGAACCACAAGATAAGTGTATTCAAAGGGGGGAATTTTTTTGTGGAGAATTAACGATAAAATGTCTTTTACTATAACAAATGTTTTAGTTTAAATATTTACCATGTTTTTAAGTCAACCCTTGTTGATCAAATGTTTACAGAACTTTCTGTCCGGAACCATGGCCATGTATCCTCAAATACCTTATTTACTTGGCACTGTGTGACCTTGTGCTTTTCCAAAGTCAAAACAAACATGAAAGATAAACGTTTTGAATCGAATCAGGACCTCAATCAAGTCAGGTAGCCTTGACTGCCCAGCTAAAGACAGGAGAGAGGACTTCCAGAACTGGTGCCGAAAGGGGCAAAGTCAAGGCCTTAGGTTTATGTAAAGGAGGGATTTTTTATGGGGATTAGCGGCAATGTGACCTATTGCAATATTTTTAAAATTTGCTGTAGTTTTTTTTTTTTTTGTATGTGTGTCTGTGGTATGGGGGATTGAACTCAGGACCCTGTGCTTGCTAGGTAGGCACTTATTCTACTGAGCTATCTCCCCGGCCCTTCACTGTAGTTTTTAATCATATTTCTTAATCAAATCTCCTTTTACAAGTTTTCTTGGAACTGTGCCTAGCAATTTTGATTCTTATTTCATCGGTCAGAACAATGTCACATGGCCACTCCTGGCTGCTAGCTACACATTTGAAGCTGAATGTGATGGTGTCCTGAACAAGAACTGTTAAGGAGAACACTAGAGACAGGCCCCTTGTCAAGATTTTGGCAGTCTCAGCCACCTCTGCCTGGAACTTACCTCCTGGACTCCATGTTTTGAATGACTTTTTGGCCTCCCCCTGATCAATCTCCATCTTTCCACACCTCCAGGGAGATGGCCCACCTGTTGAGACCAACGCCCCGGCCACGCCTTCCTGTTCCATCAGCGCAGCCTCCAGCAGCTCTGATTTCCCCATGAGCAGAGGGCCAGTGCAGGTCCTGACGCATCTTCCAAAAACCCACCACAGCCGCAGGAGAGCAGCAGGGAGCAGGAAAACGTGGTTCTTATGGAAAGAGCAGTGAAAGCACTTTCCTTCCTCCACCAGTGGGCTGAATTTTTTTTAACAGTACTTTGTAAATGGCAAGGAATAGGAAGGAGGGAGATGTTGGAATGATTACAGCCAGAGTCTTTGGGAGGGACCTGAAGGCTCCCCCAGCTCTGTAAGCCCAATCGCTGTTAGCAAACAGCAAGAGGAAGAATCCACCTCCTCTTGAGTGGTCCCAGGCAGCAGGTCCTGAGGCTGCTGGGACCACATGGATCAGGACCTGGCCAGCAGCCCAGAACTCCCCACCCCCAGCTCTTTCCCAGCCTGCTCTGCCCTTGTACCCCCAAAGGAGAGGAACTGTCCAGGACTACATTTACTCTAGCAAATTAGTCTGCCTCCAGATGGCTTGGGACCAAAGCCATGTCATTTGCTGCAGTGTCTGCATATGGGAGCTGGGCCAGCAGGGTGCCTGGGAACACTGCAGGGTCCCTGGGCGAGGCTTCACAGCTTCCCGCCAGCAGTGTGGCGTCACTGCAGATATCTGCTGTCTTCAAGGTCCTCTGTCTCTTTCACCTGCTCTGAGTCATTTCCCCTGTGTGTAAGGGCAGAGCTGTGAGGAAGAGTACCCATGAGCAACACGGGCCTTCATCTCAGTCCCTGGGGTTGATCAACATCCAGCCAGGAGAAGGGCGCTGTTTAAGAAGTCAGCAGCCAGTTGTAGCTTCCACACCCATATCCTGTCTTTGGGAACAGAGCCCAAGGAATCTTAGCTCTGCCACTGAAGGACCCCTTGACATTGGCAAGCTCTGGGCCTCAGTTTCCCTAATAGCCCAATGGAGTTCTAGCTTCCTTGCTTTAAGATAGGCTATTCCAAAGTTCCTAAAGTTTGCATTATTAGTATATAAAAGTCAAAAAATGATGCAGAGTTAATCGAGCCCCTACCATTCTAACAAGCATCTTCTCTGTACCAGACTTCTTGCCAGGCATTAGCTATATATTTCTCCATTTGACTTTCTCTGTGGAAGTACTGCTGCTATCCTCATTTTACAAATAGAAAACAGAGGCTGAGGTAATGAATAGGGATTAAACTTTGTAGCCAGTGGTCAGAACCCTAATTAATAAGTATCAGTGGCTTTAGCAAGGCAGTTTACAAGATCCCTGGAAGCTGTGTTGATTTCTACAGTGCACAGAAGTCCACAGCCGTGCTAAAATGCCAGAACACTGGGGACCCAGGTTCCTCCTACTTGATGCTTTATCTTCCATTCCCAAGGTCACCTCATTGTCCCTGAGGACTTATCTTTGAAGGCCTTCCCAAGAGTTGCCTGAACCTCCTCTTCTTATATCTCATTGGTCAGAACTTAGTCATGAGCCCACTTCAGTGGCAAGGGAGGCTGGGAAATGTAGTGTTCCTTGTGGATGATTCTATGCCCAGCTAAAAGCAGGCACTTTTGCTGCAATAAAGTCACTTATGGGAGGGGAAGAGCAGAGGCTTCCAGAAGAGACTAGCTGTCTGGGTTTAGTGATGTCTACCACTCACCAACAGGGGACCTTGGGTGGTTCTTCACTGATCCTCTACTGTCCTTGTTTGGTGTGTGTATGTGGTACCGGGGATCAAACTCAGGATCTTGCACTTGCCAGGCATGCATTTATGCTACTGAGCCATCTCCCCGACCCCTGTACTCTGTCCTAGGCACTGTTCTTAGAGCTAGAGGATGAGGTGGAGGCAGCAATGCTCCTTGTGCCTATCTCTTTGAGGGCATATCAGACTCTTAGAGGCCAATCCAAGTGGCACAGGCTATAAAGGCCACTATCCTCACTTCCCTGAGTAGGGGAGACAAATGGTCCAGTCATTCGTGCAGCTACTGCATAGGAACAAGAGCAGGGATTGGAACCCGGGACTTCTGGCTCCAAATCCAGGTTTCCAGGATACCTTCCACTCCTCCCAGCTATCTGGCTTCTGGCATTAAAGGACACCTGGGCTTCTGAGTTCCAAAATGGAGATTTCCACAGCACGTGAGGCTCAGGGGTCAGCCCAGCTGGGATTGAATCCCTGCCCTTCTGGCAGTGTGCATAGTCCTAGAACAACTTTGTCAATTTTTTCTTGGTAAAATGAGACTAACAAAAGATTGGTTATGACGCTGAAGAAGCTTAAAATAGGTCTAGCTGTCTGGACATGGCTGAGCACACAGCGTCACTCAACCCGATGCAGTGATTATTGTTGGGTTTGCCATGTTGTTTAGCACCATGTTTGTCTGCAGCCTGCCCCGCTGCAGGCCCACCTGGGGTTGATGGTTGTGCCACAGGCCCTGGGACTCTTCAAGGCCACTTCCTACAGGGCCCCTAACTCCCTTCAGTAAGACACTGCCTCCTCTTCGCAGATTTTAATGAGAATGGCTTCATTGATGAGGAGGACCTGCAGAGGATTGTGCTGCGACTGCTGAACAGTGACGATGTGTCTGAGGACCTCCTGATGGACCTCATACAACATGTACGCCCAGGGGTTGGGGGAGTGGGAGAGGGCCTAGGTACCCGAGGTGTTACCCAGAACCACCCAGGTGTCAGCCTACCTTTTAGGGAGGAGACCCAGGGCCATGCCTAAAGTGGAGGATACACTGGCTTTTGGACCACATATTCCCTGGCTACTGCCATGGGTGGGCAACATAAGGTACTCTGAGAAGTAGACACACATCTGTCAACAACTACCCCTCAATTTTCAGTCCTTTCTTTAAGATCCTTCCATGGACCCCAGAACACTTGGCTCCTCCTCCCACCCATAGACCTCCCCACTTGCATGGTGATCAGAACAGGCAGGTGGGCCAACAGCAGCTTGGCACCAGATGAACTCTCAAGGTGTCCTTCCCCCATGTTAATCCAGAGCAACACAATACCCAGATGTCCTACAGTGGCAGCAATGAAGACAGTTCCCCAAGCCCGAGAGAGATCATGGATCCATGTTTTCAGACCATGAAACCTTCCAGTGCCTAGGACTGCACGATGGGGTGATTGGGTGGTTGAGGGAAACCCTGTTCTCATTGACAAGCTGGTGCTGGAGGCCCTGGGAGACTCTTCCTAGGAGTGGCAGTCTGCCCACAAGATCCCTGTCATTAGTGCACATCCCCTCATCTCTGTGGGAGGTGATGCGAACCTCCATCAGGGGTGGGAGACAGAAGGCAGGGGACTTGCGGACAAGTGCTAAGTCCCTGGCAGAGATCCCGGCCTATGACAGCTCCTCAGCATGAGGTATCCACCTCCCGCCCTTTGTGCCCCAGCCCATCACTGGCCATCAGGCTCCTCTGAGCCTCTTTCTCCTGGCCAGGTCCTGAGTGAGTCAGATCTGGACAATGACAACATGCTGTCCTTCTCAGAGTTTGAACATGCAATGGCCAAATCTCCAGATTTCATGAAGTAAGGAGTCCTGGGGGGAGGAGGGGCTGCCTAATGTGATGGTGGTAGAGGTAACAAGGCTCCCCCCACACCTCCATCTCATTGGCAAAGAAGAAGGACTGGGTGTCTATGGCACTTGGCAGGTTTTCAGAATCAGTATTCCTGGAGAATTTTTAATTCCAGAGGAATTAAAAGATGGAAGGTTTCATGCTGGGTTTCGAAAACCATGTGAATGGTGCCACCTCAGGTATAGCCCTTAAACAGCCAGCATACCCGTGTGCTCCTCTGCAGGATGACTATCCTCCAAGACTGGCCTGTCTTTACCACTGTTCTTTGTGTGTGTGTGTGTGTGTGTGTGTGTGTGTGTGTGTGTGTGTGGCGTTACCGGGGATTGAACTCAGGACCTTGCTCTTGCCAGTTAGGCACTTACTCTACTGAGCTTTCTTCCCAACCCTTCATCACTGTTCTGTAGGAGCCACAAGGGCCAGCAATGTGAGGGTGCCCATGGTGGTGTGCACTAAAGAAAAGAAATTTAACAGAAACAACCAATTCTCCTTCAGAGAGCAAGACTTCAAGATCTTTGCTGCAAACACCCATGAGATGATTGGCGATTTCCATATCTCCTGGCCATATTTACCAGTCCCTTTAGCTCCTTCCAGTTATAAGAAATGTGTGGCCTCTAGAGGCAGCCCAGGTCAAGACCAGAGAGCTCTGCAAAAGTGGTCTTCCTTGAGCTGAGCTAGCATCTGTCAGCTTGTATCTTCCACACCAACCCCTATTCATCCCTTGGTATCGTAGCAAGGAAGAATGCCCACTCAACATGGCTTAAGAAACCAAACCCACAAGAACAGAGAGCTGTCCCTCCTTCTCTCTGCCAAGTCTCTACTTCTCACTCCTCCACACTGCTTTAAGCTGCAAACCAGCCATCTCTGCTTTGGCAGACAGGAGGCCACCATGGCCTTCCTATGGAGATCAAGTTTTTATCTCTTTGGTTTGATGAGCCCCAGTCGTTCCTAAGTAGTGTGTCTCAGTTCTGACTGCATTCCCAGAGACAGTATTCAGGTGCTCCTGGGCCAGGGCTCCACTCCTCTTCCAACCATTCTGATGGAGGCGAGAGCCCCAACTCCAGTGTGGCTGCCAGAGGCCTGTGGTCAGAGTGGGCCATAAGGGCAGCACATGTGGGGTCACCCAACCAAACATACGTTCTCTTGCTCCGCAACAGCCTAGTACAAAACTGATGTTGGAACCCTGCCTGCCTTGCATTTCTCTCCAAATCATTCTCATTTCTTTCCACTGGTGGGTGCTGCACAACATTCTGAGACTGTTTGCATTTTTGTTATACTAAAAGCTCAGGTGAGGGGCCAGCGAGATAGCTTGGGGGTCTAAAGTGCCTGCTTAGGCAAGCTTACACAAATGTGCAGGGACCGAGGTTCAGTTCCCAGCACCACATGCCACCCCAGCCCCACCCTCATGGTGGGCTGAGTTGGCCACGGGGGGGGGGGGAGGAAGTAAAGAAAAAGCTCAGGTGAAAGGGACATAAGAGGTGACTAAGGTAGGGGACCTCGAGGACCACCGTGAGCTCAGTGCTAGAGGGTCCCTTAGGACTACAGGAGGCTCACAGGATTCTTCCTTTCAGCTCCTTTCGGATCCACTTCTGGGGATGTTGAAGGCTGCAAACTCCTGACCCAACAGCCTCGAGGGAGACCCCTGGAAGTCCTGTCTCCAGGCATTGGGGAGCTGATCTGAAGTCTGACCATGTCCACATCCTGCCCTCACCTCTAGAATAAAGGCAAAATGTTTTCTTTATCATGGAGGCCTGCTGCTTTTGGAACACAGGATCAGACCCAGGGACTGTGCATTAAGAACTATTTATGCCAGGGTGTACATCTGCCAATTATGCCTAGCAAGCAGGCATGGCCTGTCTTTTTGACCCATTGTAAGAAGAGTGGACTGGCCAAGTGGGAGGAAGCTCCACAAGAAATGATTCATTCTTCCTACCCTTCCTTGGGAGCCCTTCCCAGCATTTTCCAATGTGCAGGGCACACAGATGCGTACATGGAAGTCACTCCAGCCAGTGCTGGCTTCCCAGTCCTGATACCATGGAAGAGACGTCTGGTGAGAACAGATCTTCCAGGGCCAGGCAGACACATGACCTCGGCACCCACTCCAGTGCCTATGCCTCTCCCAGAGGGTGCTCAAAAACAGGACTTCCTTGTAGCCGCTGGCCTGGGTTGCTTTCTCTCTCATCTTCTTTGAGGAAGAGCGTCAGGGGCAGATTCCAAATCAGCCTGTCCCTGCCAGTCTGGGCAGAATGCAGGAAGTAGCCACAGCAAATGGCTTTTTGTCCCAGATGCTGCTGCTCCTCAGGTCTTTCGGCTCCTAAAGACTGCCTCTCAGTCTCCACAAGGGCCACAAGCAGGGTATATAGTGGAAAAGCCCGGACCTGGCAGTCTGATCCTGCTATCTCTCTTCTTCATGGTGTGAACTCGGGTAACTTTCTCAGTGTCTCTGGATCTCCCTTCCTTCATCAATGAAGTGAGGATAACACCCTGCTCAGATTATCATGTAAGCCAAACCATGCTGAATCAGAGCTCCTATAAGAATTCCCTCCCATCTCACCCCAGCGGGATATTCTGGATCACTATGCCTCATTGTCACACATGGGATAATCCAGCTCCTTTGATTCCATCTGTGGTCTCTACTCATGTGACTTGGTGATGCTGTGTGACCTCAGGAGAACTTTCTGCCCCTTGAGAAATGTCTCTAGAACAAAGAGGAAAGATGTATGTGATGTGGTGGCTAAAGGTTTTATTCCACACAAGTTATCTAGGCAAAGCCAAGGCTCCCAAGGCATCAGCGACCTGGTCTCAAGCTCTGAACTCAAAGTAGCAGTCTCTCTTCTGTCGCTCTTGTGGGGACACCCTCTTCCCTGATGGGAAGGTCTGATAGGTCTTCTGGTTCTCAGGGGACAGTCTTAAAAGGTGCCACTTCTCCTTTGGGCCCAGAGGAGGCCTGAGGGTGAAGATGGAGATCGTGTCAGATAATGGGTCCAGAAGGAGGGTGAAGAATGCCCGCTTTAGCCCCACGCACCCACTTTCCTCCTCGCTGCCCTGCTGGGTGGTCCTGACTTTAACATCTGACAAAGTTCCCTGGCTTGGGAAAAGAGGGAACATGTATTTGCATAGCAGCATGGGTACAAAGGCATCAGACAGAACAGGCATAGCTTCTGCCCTATCTCCTGATGGATGTGTACCCATGTAACTACGGATTACTCTTGGTATCACTCCCCTGAGCTTTGATTTGAGGGTCAGGTAATGGGATAAAGCACTTAACTTAATACGATGCTAGACGAGGGATACTCAACAAATGTTACCAGAGGTAACAGTGGTGGTGGTGACGGTGCTATTGGTGGTGAGGATACCGATGAGGGTGATGGTGGGGAGGGTAATGATGTAAGGGTGATGATGACAATAATGGTGGCGATGGTGATGACGGTGGTGATGGTCGTGACGGTGCTAGTGGTCACGATTGTGATGCTAACGATAGTGAAGACGATGACAGTGAGTGTGGTAATAATCCTGGTGGTGAGTGTGATGGTGGTGAGGATGATGGTATTGAAAATGACAGTGGTGATGATGGCGGTGATGGTGATAGTGTTGACGGAGACTGTGGTGACGCTGATTGTGGTACAGTAGTGAGGGTGATTGCGGCAACAGTGATGATGTAGGTGATCATGGTGATCACCAAGGTGGTGAAGATGGTGCTGTGGTGAGGTGATGCAATGGGGGTGACAAGGATGAAATGGTAGTGACGCTGATCACGGTAGCACTGGTGACAGCGGTGATAGTGATGGTGGTGACTACGGGGGCGATGGCAATGGTGATAATGGTGAAGATGATGGTGATGATAGTGGGGATAGTGGTCAAATTCCAGAAGGGGAAAGATTTGTCCCAGGCCACAGAGCCAATCACTGACCTTTCTTATCCTTAACCCAATCACTTGGTTTATCCAGTGTTGGGCATAGCTGTCAGCAGGGCAGGATACCAGGTAATTTGGAGAAGGAAGAGAGCTGAGAAGCCCTGGCAAGACGGGATTGAGAGACCTGTCCCCAGAAGAGACCCACTTCCCAAGCAGTGGAGATGGTCAGCCCAGACCCTAGAGTTGGGCATAGAAGACATGGGTTCCCTTCCAGCACAGCAGCCAACCAGCCAGGTTACCCAAGCCAAGCCTTTCAGGCTGCCGCTGAGTTTCACTGAGTTGTACTATTTATAAAACAGATCCATCTGCTTTACAGAGAACCACTTCTAGGGGCAGTAAGAGTCTTTAAAAGCCATTCAATTGTGGGGAACAGCTGCTGCTTCTGCTAGAGCCTGATGGTGAGGCAAGTGCAGGGTGAGCAGAGGGCTAGACACCCAGGATCTGTTGCTAACCTCCCAATGTCCCTCCCTGGAAAGAGAAGGGGCTGCAAAGGTGGGGGAGGACTGTCCTAGGAGGCCTGATGGCATCCATCCCAGGCATGAGCCACCATCCTATCCCTGCCACATGGCACCTGAGTAAACTTGTGATCCCTACACCTGGGTGGCAGGCAGGAGAGATGTGAGCCCAGATCTCCTTACAGGGAAAATCTGGCCTTCCCTGAAGGAATGACACTCTCCCAGATAATAGTAGCCATGAGATCAGGCTGTAAGGAACGTCCACTTTTTGCTAGATGGCCAGCAGCCTTTTTCAAGTCCCTAGGAGAACATTTTCCTAGCCTGGCTGGGGCTCAGGGTCTGGGCTCTGCTCGGTGTAGTGTCATCTGTGTCCACTAGAGGGAAGTAGCTGAACTGCATTTAGACTAGCAAAGCGCCCGTGCTGCTATTGCAGGGGGAGTCGCAGGTTCAGGTCCGCAGATAATATGGGGTGTGTTCCTAAACTCAGGGTGCATCTGGTGGAGAAAGTGCTCTCCCTGATTCTGCCCATTCAGATGCCTGGCATTTCCCTTGAGGCTGCTGGAGCTCCGACCTCCTTGTTTTGCAGCTGTCACTTTGCCCTGCAGGCACTCAAGAGCAAGTTCATTAACTGCTTTCTGTCTGGGTTCCCTGCAGGTCCTCCGAGGGAGCAGGCACACTACTGGATGTGTTTGTTAGCAGGAGGTAGGAAGGGAGGACAGGTACTCACAGGTCGGTGGGGAGCGGGTACCCTTCCCTTGCCCTCACAGGCAGCACGAAGTAGGGGACCTGGGGCACCGTGCCGGTCTTGTCTCTGTAGTACTTCCGATGCTGTTGTGCCTTCTGCAGCTCCGCCAGGGGAGAGAAGACAGCGGTTGGTGTGCGGAGGAACTTCAGGCACCCATACTTCGTGCCTGCGTGCTGGGCATGGGGGAGGCAGTCTCTCTGTTATGGTTTAGAGCTAAAATGTCTGGAAAGTGCTTGGCCCATGGGGTGCCACGCTGATCCGTGGCTTCATCCTTAATGAGCTCAGGAGCTGCTGATGCTATGAAGGTGGGTTGGCTGGAGATGGTTATAGGAAGCATGACCTGGCAGAGTGGATTGTGGCCCCACCTCTTCCCTCTTTTCTGCTTCCTGGCCACTGCAGGTAGAACAGCTGTTGTCCACCATGCCAGTGCTGCCGTGGAGCCAGCCAACCAGGGACTGAAACTGTGAGCCAAAATAAACCTCTTCTCCTTTAAGTTGTGATGGGAATTTTGTTCCAGTGAGAGGAAAGTAACTAAAATATTTCTCTAACATCCCTGGAGGAGTCCCCGGGGTTTCTGAAGCATCAGCCCAACTGCTGACCAGCTGGTGTCCTCTCTGAGCCTCAGTTCCTCATCTAACAGAGATTACGCCCCCATCTACACACCAGCTTTGCTATAGACAGTAAAGCACCAAGGAGGCATGAAAGCCCAGATTGGCTGCCCACACAAACACAGGTGGGCTTGGCCCAGGTCTGGTCCTCCTTCCCTCCTGGTCAGGACATGTTCTGTATGAGAGCCAGGTGGACAGAACAGCTGTCAGTGTCTGAGGGCTCCACCTCGTCCCACCCCTTGGAAGCTGCCTTTCTGTACAAGCCCTCTGCCCTGACACCAGGTACCCTGTCCTTGTAGTCAGCCTGGGAAGGTTGCTCATAAGAGAGGTGACAGTAGGGTCCCAGAACCACAGCAGAGAACAAGACCTCATGTTCACATGGCACAAAGGCCAGCTCAGATCTTGTGTCCTTCTGTGGATGCTTTATAAGCCAGAGAAATAGGACAAGAGTAGTGGGCTGTGGGCAGTTTTCTTTCATCTTGGTGTCATCTGGGCTGAGGCTGGCTCAGGGCACACTCTCAGGGAAATAGCTAAAGAAAGCGGGGACTGGGAGGGCCAGTGGGCACCGGAGTCCAGGTGGGTAAATCAGTAGCCTGGACGCAGGGAGAGGGAGTTGGTGGGCCTCTGTCCTGTGTGATTCATACTGTGGCTGAATTTTTGGCCTTTCACTCGGAAACGCCCGCACTCCCGTAGCAGCAGTGGTGGTGGGGGTCAGGAGTCACAAAAACCCAGAGCAGAGAGAAGTCAGGCAAGTAGAGTCCCAAGCCGCCCTCCAGCCAAATCCCATTTCCCTGCTGGCTCTGAGAAAGCAAACAGCTGCTCTGAGGGTGCTTGTCCCTAGCTCACCTGGTAGAAGGACACCAGCTCAGTGGAGCGGTGGCTGTCCAGGTTGAAGCGAGTGTAGCTAGGCAGGTGCAGCCAGTGGTCCCGGAAATGTGAGCGATCCATCAACACCAGTTTGGGGTTGGGGGAGAAGAGGGTGGGGAAGGAGCTCCCGCTGCTGAGGCCCGTGTGGCTTTTCTCCATGGCTGCGTTGCGGTGGTCCTGGAAGTACTTGAGGGTGGTAGTGCCATAGGAAGAGCCGAAAGAGAAAGTCACGCCAGGCACATGGCCTTGATACCTGAGGGCGGGAGGTGATTCAGAGAATGAAGGCCTCCAGGGCCACTTCCAAGAGAGGCCCTTCCAAGCTGAGGGCCCCATGGTTCCTCTGGCCTTGAGAGGCTTCCCAAGGTGCACTGTCCTGCTTGGGTCTTAAGGGGAAGCCAGGTGCAGGGGACTTGGCTTCTTCCTTTGCACAGAGCTCTCTGCCTACATGATTCTCTTCCAGGCCAGAGGCCTATCTGGGGCAAGGGCCTAGGTGTCCCCTTCACCAGGCCTCCACTTACTCAGGTTTGCCCAGTCTGCCATATCCAGTTGCACGCTAACCACCCCTGTGGGTGTGCCGGAGGTGATCTCCAGCCCTCACCTTCCCCAGTAGTCTGCTCCCATCTCAGTACGATCTTCCTTAGCTGTCCAGGTCAGAAACTTGGGCATCCACCTCTCTCCTATCCAGTCAGTCACCAAATCCCCTGGGTCCACTGCACCCTCTGAACTCAGCCTTGTCACCTTGTCACTTCCAATCTACTTTCCACACTTCCATCAGAGTGAGCTTTCCAAAATCAAAATCAAATCCTTAACAAGACTTCAAAGCTGTCTGTGAGCAGACCCTTGCCCTCCTCTCTGGCCTCTGTCACCCCACAGCTAGTCCAGAGGTGCCACCCTGGTTCTCTGGGTGTAATTGCCTGCTCCCTGTCTCCTTATCCCCCTCCTCCATGTTATTGCTCCATGTCTTCCACCATCAGGATGCCAATCTGATTTACTCCCCTATCCAAATCCTGCTCTTTGCCTCCCAAATACTGAACAGTCCTTTATGACTAGTCCAGATAGCCCTTCTTCTAAGAACTGCAGCCACTCCTAGGTCTGGGAAGCATCTGCTCCCTTTGTATCTAAAATCCCCTCCACCGGCCACATCTCTTCCTGTGTTGCTTCTGTCTCTGCACATCTCTTTCAGTCCTTATCCAATGGTAGCTTCCCGGGGGTAGAGCCTGCTATTTCATGTTTGTATTCCTTGGGCTCAGTGCCAGGTCTGGCAGGCAGTATGTGGGTAGGAAATTGTTTATTAAACAGATGAAAAGATGAGTGGGTGATGTGCCCATAGCGCTGATGATGTTTATAGTTGGACCGGAGCATGTGAGTGCCCAAGGGCCAGTGACCATGCTGCAGGGACCTCCAGCTCATGTCCTCTCCTCTAAGGGGTTGGTACCCTTCCTCTCTCTCATTGGAGAGTCCTGACCACACACCAGAATGTTCTCAGGAGCATCCTCCTCCCCTATATTCCAGGCATGGGTCCTATGCCAGGGTCTGGAGGTCAGTTAGCAGCTGCCTCAAGCTCAGTCTTCCCACCAGTAGTATGGGGTGGTGGTTAAGGGAGCAATGTGTGATAACCTTCGTTGCTTTTTCAGAAAAAAAAAAAAGAAAGCTAAACAAAGAGACTATTGATCACTTTCTACTGTACTGTAGGCAAAAATATCTAGAGTCAGTCCTGGTCCCACATACTGCTACTCACTAGCCCTTCCCAGGATCTGGTGGCCTCGAGGCTGCTGGGGCCAGAGCAGTGAGAGTAGCAAGGAATGTGGTTGCCAACCTGGCCATGCGACATGCTGTCCTTAGCTCCATGAGCCCAAGGGTCCTCTGAGCTCTTCCTGCTGAGTGCCCCCAAATCCCCTGCTTGTGGCCATGCCTCCTTACCTAGAAAGTTAGGGGTGAGGGTAATAGAGTCCTTGTTGCCCATCCTGTGGGGCATTGCTAGGAGACAGAGGCCTCCTGTCTGCCCAGCTGGCCTCCCCCTTGTCCCAGGGTCTGGAGTCCACCCTTTCTAGAGCCCCAGAGTCCTCATTAGTCCCCTGCAGCTCTTCTTTCCTCTCAGCCTCCGTCTTTCCCTTCTGGCACCTTTGCTGTGGGGATAGAATCCAGGGCTGCTCTGGCACTGAGCTACACCCCAACTCTTTCAATTTGAGTTGGAGACTCACTAAGCTGTTTGGGCTGGCCTCAAACTTTTGAGCTTCCTGTCCCAGCCTCGCGAGTAGCTGGGATTCCACACATGCACCACACACCAGCAAGGTCTCTGCTGTCTTTCATGTTTCTTTCTCCCTTGGCTTTTTCCTCTCTGCTTGGAGACACACATGGGCCTCTCCTAGGGTGAAGAATTCTGTAGTAAATCTTGCTGCTGTCTCACACATTACCTTTTCTTTATTCCCTAATGTCTCCAAGGAATACCTTGTCCCTTCTGCCTTTTATTTCTTGAACTTCTCTTCTTTTCTGACCACTCTCGGTCTGGTTTCTGACCCACTACTTAAACATGAACTTAGAGCCAGCCAAATAGCTCAGCAGATCAAAGCACCTGAAAGCAGGTGCAGGGGCCGGGGGTCCGTTCCCTGGGCCTGCTGCGCTGGCCCCACTCCCAGGGCACGCTAAATCAATTGAGACTGGGTGTGGTGGCACAGGCCTCTAATCCCAGCACTTGGGAGGCTGTAAACAGGAGAATCACTACGAGTCCAGTCTAGTAGTGAGACCCTGAACACCCTGTAGACCTTTCCCTAAAAAGAAAATACAGAAAAAAAAGTGAACTTCTACTTTT